CAACCTTTATTGTCATCTACTTTTTAAAATAAAGCTCATGTTTTCTTGTGCATTTCATATAATCAAATAATTGATAGTTTGTGTTTATATTCAATTAGCAGCACAAAAAGTTTGCTTTAATTTATCAGAGCTTTTTTTGTCTAATGTAGATTATATTTGCAGCATTTTAGAGTCCCAAATGTTTGATATTGGTTTTCAGATTGCCACAGAGGAATCCACATTTTCTCCTCCCAAAGCCATGGAGGCGAAGAAGCCCCTGAAACCAGCTCTAAAACGTAACCAGAGTACCCTAACTGATTATTCCCAAGGTATTTAAGAAATATGCAGGTAAGTGTGTATTCTGGCAGGGAAAAAAATATTGATTGATGTATGTTATTCTGTGTTTTCAGACGAATCTGATAATTCAGTAACAGCCTTGAAAAATATATTTTGTGCCAAAGATTTTAGTGAGGATGTGGAGGTAAGGCAACCTTTATAGAACGAAATGACTGTCGCATCACCTTTTATACATGTTCTCATAAATGTTATCTCACTCAGCCAATCTAATCTGCTTTTGTCACTGTGACGTTACTTACATACTAACGATTCCTTTGCTCTGCCATTTCATTGCATTGTTACTTACCATGCAGTCCTGCCATTTGTCTTCTATGTTTTTGCTAACATAAGTCTACCAAGACTCCTGCTCCCCCTTCAAAAGTTAAGCGCAAACGGATACGTCTGTGTCTAGGGGTAAGTGTGTAACTAATCTCTTCTATGTGCGTCTATAGTGCATTGTATGTATGCCAAGGTATAAAGGCATGATAATATTCACATCATCTTTGCGTGTATACTAATACATTTTACTAAACAAGGTTCACATGCATGGCTATTCCTTTTTTTTTTTTTTTTTTTTTTTTTTTTAACTGTCAAATGTGTAAAAATAAAGCAAAGTAAAATTTCACGGAAAGTTTTATATTTGATCTGTGTCTATCTAGCCAAGTGCAGGCAAGCAGCAATGGGATTTCCAGTAAGGAATAACACTGATTTGGACCCCTGCGTGTGTATTTACCTTGAAGATTCTGCCACCCTCCCTCCCCTTCTAACTCCTTATTTCTGATGGGCATATCCTATATAGGGTCTTTGATTGTGGCTCCAGTGTTTGCTTGTGAATTTGCATTCACAGCTGGTCATAACCGTTAGGGTCCAGTCACACCATAGTGTTTTTTTCTGACAATTTTACTGCTCAGAAGTGTGCAAAAAGAACCAATTCATGCAATTCCAGGCATTAGTGCACACATGGTAATGTGTGTTGCCTGGGCTTTAATGTGTGTCGTGTTCAGGCATCCATTTGCTTGAATGGGCTGCCTAATGCACCAAAAAAGGTGCATATGCCATTTCTGACAGCACACCATAAAAGGCATTAGTGGTGCAACGCACATCCATTAGCAAAGTATGTTGCGGTGCCATTTTGGGTGAATAGCACCACATCGCACTGTAGAACGCACATGACATAAGTGCCTCCAGTTAGTGTTCCCTGCTGAATCTTTGTCCATCATAGTAGCGTTGCTTCCCTGTGAGGAGGAAGATGAAGAAGTGGAAGGTGAACCTTCAGCGTTTGAGAACTTCTCCTGGGTATGTGCTCAATTACCCTTGATCTCTCCCAAGCTTAAAGAAACCATTAAAGTGGTATTAAACCCAAACGCAAATATTTATTATACTGCAGCTTACCAGTTGTTAGGATGGCTGCATTCATTTTCTTTTGTGTTTTTTTTTTTTTCCTTTTTCACCTGGTGATCCCGCTAGTAAGCCTGTTGTTTTTCAACAAAACAAGCTGTCCTGCAGTTGTAGCAGTTAGAGGGTTGAGACAAACCATTTACCACTGACAGAAGTGCTTGCAGTAATCAGCTTTTATGTTAAACCTCTATCCCAAAAGGAAAAAAATGTTGCTGTAACTACTTAAAAAGCGTGAGCTGGAGTTTTAGTGTATCTAACTCTACTAGTGCATCTAACACCCCCACCCCACTTGGATGACAGTGCTGCTGTCCAAAGGTGTCACTGTTGTTCCTTAATTCAGAGTGTAGGCATTGTATTGCAGGAAGTGTTTTTCAGGCTGGATGATCAGGTGAAAACAGAGGGGGAAATAGCAGTCACCAGTATGATATCCCCTCCAAAGTCTAAGAAACTTATTATGTAATTTCCTGTTCATCTACCAGTACAGAATATTCTGTATGACGACTGGCAGTCACCAGACAAATTGTACACACCTCCCAAGAGGTTTGCACAGTGGTACCCGGTAGAGGAAGCCTACCTTAGAAGGTGGAAATTGCCTTTGGTGGATCCAATTATTTGCTGCTTCAACAAATCCCTTACAGATCCTGTTGATGATGTCCCAGTCTTCAAAAACCCAGTGGACAAAAGGTTTGTTGGTGTCTATTGCGGTTTGCCAAACACTGTCAATCTGGGCAAAGGGCATAGGGCACAACCCTCTATTGATCCTGATGGATCCCTCAGTTCCCAAGAAATGGGAGTTCCTCCTCCTTGTGCTACTGCATGGATGGTTTGTTGGACTCCCTGCCCCTAAATTCTCACCTAGCTCTTGTTTATGGGATAGTTGCGTATGGTTCTCTGACTGTGAAACTGGTATGTAGAGACAGTTTATAAAAAAGCCTTTTGGAAAGGATTTTGGGAGTCACTAAACCCCTTTTAAAAAGGAAGTCATGGGCAGAAAAATCAGCTTTCAAAAAGGAAGAATGCAAAGTCTGCAGCCAGGTTTATTGGTTCTGGGTTCCAGAGAGTTTTTTTTTGTCTATTCTAGTATTCTGCTTCAAAAGCCAAGTCCTCCACTTGGTTCCATCACAAGTCCTGGATGTCCCCCTCAAAATTAAGGGAATGACCAATTTTACAACTGTTGTAACAGTGAAGGGAGTAATTTAGCCCTTTCCTTTTCGGAGTTGTGATGTCCCGGGGTACAAGCTGAAGTTTTGCCCCATGCTGCCTCCTTGCTTTATGTCCTTTTCGGAGTTGTGGTGTCCCGGGGTACAAGCTGAAGTTTGGCCCCATGCTGCCTCCTTGCTTTATGCCCTCCAAAATTCCTATCTTTCTGATGAGATTGCTGGCACTCCAAATAACTTAGAACAGCTTCACTCTTCAGGAGTGATCGTAGCAGTTCCCTCCGAGAAACCATTGCAGGGCTAATGTTCAAACTGTTTACATTCCCAAAATCCAATGATGGTGGCATTACCCTATGCTTGGTTATCTTTCTGCAGGTCTTAGAGTTCCCGACAGAATGGGCCCCCTCTGTAATTGCACTGCTGCAACAAAGGGAATTTCTAGCATAGACAACTATCAAGGATACATATTTGCATATTCCCATTTTCCCAGATCAGCAGTTCCTGTGATTTACGGTGGGCATGGAGCACTTCCAGTTTGTAGCTCTTCCTTTTGGCCTGTCTATGCCCCCCCCCCTTCCCCCCCAGTCTTCAAATCCACATTACCAGATATCTGGATGACCTTCTTTTGAGGGATCTCGCTGCCCTGGCCTTGGCTGCCTGTGTGCAGTGGACGACACAGGCCAAGCCCAGGCAATTTTTCCTGGGAAAGAGTGTTGACCCTCCCATGTCATATCCCGACCCTGCGCTCCAAAAAACGTTTCCTGTGGAATGATTTTTGTATAAGGGTTCTGGGCCTCATTTCAAGCAGTGATGTTTGCCTTGTTTTGCTCCAGACCTCTACACTCAATGTGCTAACTTCATGGGATAAGTTCCCTTGCTTTCTCGACAACCCCATGCACTTACCGTATTTTTCGCTCCATAAGATGCACTTTTCTCCCCCCAAAAAAGGGGGGAAAATGTCAGTGCGTCTTATGGAGCGAATATGGAGCGGCCGGTCCGGTATTTCCACCGCCGCCGTGTCAGAATACCGGGCCGGCCGCTCAGCTCTGCAGCAGGACCTTACCTGTTCCTCGGTCCAGCACTGTGCAGTCTTCCCGCGCCGGCTTCTTTAGTGTAGGATCTCGGCTTGACAGCCGGGTACCCAGTGCGCATGTGCGAGAAGCGCTGCACTTTGTGAATGGTACAGTGTCTTCTGGGACAAATGACAGGTCCCAGAAGGCGTCGGACCAATCACAAAGCGCAACGCTTCTCGCGCATGCGCAGTGGGCACCTGGCTGTCAGCCGGGTGCCCACACTAAAGCGAGGACAACTCCGCGGAAGTGGGAGTGGGTACCTGTCAAATTCAGGTACCCACTCCCCCTCCCTCCCCAAAGGTCAGCAGTCTCTGGTCATCCCCTGTACTGTCCGCAGTCTCTGGTCATCCCCTGTACTGTCCGCAGTCTCTGGTCATCCCCTGTACTGTCCGCAGTCTCTGGTCATCCCCTGTACTGTCCGCAGTCTCTTAGTCATCTCCTGTACTGTCTGCAGTCTTAGTCATCTCCTGTACTGTCTGCAGTCTCTTAGTCATCTCCTGTACTGTCTGCAGTCTCTTAGTCATCTCCTGTACTGTCTGCAGTCTCTTAGTCATCTCCTGTACTGTCTGCAGTCTCTTAGTCATCTCCTGTACTGTCTGCAGTCTCTTAGTAATCTCCTGTACTGTCTGCAGTCTTAGTCATCTCCTGTACTGTCTGCAGTCTCTGGTCATCTCCTGTACTGTCCGCAGTCTCTGGTCATCTCCTGTACTGTCCGCAGTCTCTGGTCATCTCCTGTACTGTCCAGTCTCTGGTCATCTCCTGCACTGTCCGCAGTCTCTGGTCATCTCTTGTACTATGTCCGCAGTCTCTGGTCATCTCCTGTAATATGTCCGCAGTCTCTGGTCATCTTTACTATGTCCGCAGTCTCTGGTCATCCCCTGCACTGTCCGCAGTCTCTGGTCATCTCTTGTACTATGTCCGCAGTCTCTGGTCATCTCCTGTACTATGTCCGCAGTCTCTGGTCATCTCTTGTACTATGTCCGCAGTCTCTGGTCATCTCCTGTACTGTCCTCAGTCTCTGGTCATCCCCTGCACTGTCCGCAGTCTCTGGTCATCTCCTGTACTATGTCCGCAGTCTCTGATCATCTCCTGTACAATGTCCGCAGTCTCTGGTCATCTCCTGTACTGTCCGCAGTCTCTGGTCATCTCCTGTACTGTCCGCAGTCTCTGGTCATCTCCTGTACTGTCCGCAGTCTCTGGTCATCTCCTGTACTGTGTCCGCAGTCTCTGGTCATCTCCTGTACTGTGTCCGCAGTCTCTGGTCATCTCCTGTACTGTGTCCGCAGTCTCTGGTCATCTCCTGTACTGTCTGCAGTCTCTGGTCATCTCCTGTACTGTCCGCAGTCTCTGGTCACCTCCTGTACTGTCCGCAGTCTCTGGTCATCTCCTGTACTGTGTCCGCAGTCTCTGGTCATCTCCTGTACTGTGTCCGCAGTCTCTGGTCATCTCCTGTACTGTGTCCGCAGTCTCTGGTCATCTCCTGTACTGTCTGCAGTCTCTGGTCATCTCCTGTACTGTCCGCAGTCTCTGGTCACCTCCTGTACTGTCCGCAGTCTCTGGTCATCTCTTGTACTATGTCCTCAGTCTCTGGTCATCCCCTGCACTGTCCGCAGTCTCTGGTCATCTCCTGTACTATGTCCGCAGTCTCTGGTCATCTCTTGTACAATGTCCGCAGTCTCTGGTCATCTCCTGTACTGTCCGCAGTCTCTGGTCATCTCCTGTACTGTCCGCAGTCTCTGGTCATCTCTTGTACAATGTCCGCAGTCTCTGGTCATCTCCTGTACTGTCCGCAGTCTCTGGTCATCTCCTGTACTGTCCGCAGTCTCTGGTCATCTCCTGTACTGTCCGCAGTCTCTGGTCATCTCCTGTACTGTCCGCAGTCTCTGGTCATCCTCTGCACTGTCCGCAGTCTCTGGTCATCTCTTGTACTATGTCCGCAGTCTCTGGTCATCTCCTGTAATATGTCCGCAGTCTCTGGTCATCTGTACTATGTCCGCAGTCTCTGGTCATCCTCTGCACTGTCCGCAGTCTCTGGTCATCTCTTGTACTATGTCCGCAGTCTCTGGTCATCTCCTGTACTCTGTCCGCAGTCTCTGGTCATCCCCTGCACTGTCCTCAGTCTCTGGTCATCCCCTGCACTGTCCGCAGTCTCTGGTCATCTCCTGTACTATGTCCGCAGTCTCTGGTCATCTCTTGTACAATGTCCGCAGTCTCTGGTCATCTCCTGTACTGTCCTCAGTCTCTGGTCATCCCCTGCACTGTCCGCAGTCTCTGGTCATCTCTTGTACTGTGTCCGCAGTCTATGGTCATCTCCTGTACTATGTCCGCAGTCTCTGGTCATCCCCTGCACTGTCCGCAGTCTCTGGTCATCTCTTGTACTGTGTCCGCAGTCTATGGTCATCTCCTGTACTGTGTCCGCAGTCTCTGGTCATCTCCTGTACTATGTCCGCAGTCTCTGGTCATCTCCTGTACTATGTCTGCAGTCTCTGGTCATCTCCTGTACTATGTCTGCAGTCCATTGGTTCAGAATATTTTTTTTCTTGTTTTCTGCCTCTAAAACCTAGGTGCTTCTTATGGTCAGGTGCGTCTTATGGAGCGAAAAATACGGTATGTCTCAAGGCCAGGAAATCCCTGACCTGGTGGCTGACCAGCCTTGCGCTGGAATCAGGGAAGCTATTTCTCCCATTAAATTGGATAGTTTTCATAATGGATGCTCGCCTGTTGGGCCAGGGAGGTATCCTAGGTGCCGCAACAGTCTAAGAGATATGGTTGTTGAGGGAGTGCAGACTTCCCATCGACATTTTCAAACTGAAAGCCAGTCATTGATGCATGCTGTGTCATGGACCATGCAGCTTCAGGAGTGAATAACAAGGGTCTGTTTGGACAATGCCACAGCAGTGGCTTACATCAATCATCAGGGCAGCACCAGGAGCCATGCAGCCCTTCCAGAAGTGGACTCTATTATGGCTTGAGCCTTAAGGCTCAGTATAGCCTCTATCACTGTCCACATTCCCAGAAAAGACAGTTGGCATATGGAAACTTTCAGTCCTCAGCACCTGGATGTGGAGGAATGGTCTCTCCACCCCTAGGTGTCCTAGGACATGTCACTGCCGTGAGATGCCAGATGTAGATCTGCTGGCATTCCGATTCAACTAGGTGGACAGATTTGTGGCCAGGATCACAGATCAAAAGGTCTTTGCAGTGGACACACTGGTGACCCTGTGGGATTAGTTCTGGTTGATAAATACCTTCCCTCCGCTATGGATTCTTCCTGAACTGCTTCACATGATCAAGATGAAGGGCATCCTGGTGATCTTAGTGCCACCAAATTGGCTCAGAGGACTTGGTACTCAGACATTCTCTGACTCCCGCGAAACACACTGTGGGTACTTCTGGAACTACAAAACCTACTGTCTCAAGGTCCAATCTACCATCCTGCTTCAGTCACTGGCTTTAACTGCTTGGCTATTGAAACCCAAATCCTGAGAGAGCGAGGTCTGTCTTACCCCATTATTCCTATGCTACTTAAAGCTAGGAAACTGATCACTGGCAGGGTCTATCTTTGCACTTGAAAGGCTTTCTTTGTGTGATGCAAGACAAGTCTCAGCATTGATCATTCTCTTTCAGAGACTGCTGGCTTCTCATTCTCTGATAAAGGCCTTTGTTCAGGGGGAAGTTCACATGACTTTTTGTACTCCTGCACCTCCTTGTGATCTCAGTTTTATTCTGTCAGCCCTACGGCATCCTCTCTTTAAGCCCATTTGGGATATTCCCTTGGCTGACCTTACCCGTAACTTTTTCCTCAAGGCTGTCGCATCAATTAGATGAATCTCAGAATTGGTGTCTTTATATTGTAGCTAACCCTCCCTTGTTCTCCATAACAAAACAAGGTGATTTTGAAATCTCGGGTTTCCTTTCTTCCTGAGGTGGTTTTCTTCTTTCACCTTAGGCCTCATGCAAACTGGACATTTTCTAAACTCTCCCAGAAACCTTCCTCCTGGCAGCAGCGTTTTGCCAAAGTGTCTAATGCTTTCACAAGCACTTAGGTGCATTTGCAGGCATCGAGCATTATCCTCGCCATTGAAATGAGTTAATGCTCAAGCACTAATGCGTTATTGCGCAGCAAGCATTTTTTCTGCCGAAACTCTGCTGCTCCTGGATGCACTGGCAGTGCTTTTTTTTTTGTTTTGATTATTTTTTTGCCTGCCTCTAAACTCTCCTGCCACTAAAAGCTGCTAAAAGCCTATGTATGTATGGACACAGGCTAACATGCAGGGGAGTTTAGAGGCAGGAAAAGAAACGCCTGACACCCCTAGAAGCAGCTGCAAAAATGCCAGTGTGCATGAGGCCTTAGGACATCATCCTATCCTGCCTTCTGTTTGCTGTACACCAAAGCACCCGAACTAGATCTCTCTACATTGTTTAGATGTAGTACGGGCAATGCGAGTTTATCTCTCAGCCACTGCTTCTATCCAAATCTCTATTTGTCCTGCCTGTGGGCTCTCACAAGGGCTGTCCTGTTCCTTGTTCTACCATCTCTAGGTGAATTGGGCAGGTTTTCATTAAGGCATACGCCTTGAAGGATAGGAAATCCTTCTTTCCTTGATATAGCTCTCTTGACTTTTTCAGTTAGTGCCTCTTGGGCTTTTCAGCAGCAGATGTCTGGTTCTCAGGTTTGCAAGGCTGCCACTTAGTCCTCTGTTCACATGTTTGTGAAGTTTTACCAGGTAGATTTTCAGGCTTCTGCTGATTCCATCTTTGGCGGTATGGTTCTTCAAGCTGCTGTATGATTTTGGAACCTGTTTCCCTTGTTTTGGTCCTGTTAGCATTGTTTGTTTTGCTGCCCAACCCTCACTTGTATTACTTGGAAATGTCCATTGGTCAAGAATAAAATAAACCTGTGTCCTGTACCATACAATTGGGTAATAAGAAATTTTGGCTTACCAGTAAAATTCTTTACTTGGAGAACAGTACAGGACACTCTGCCCTGGCATTTGTTCTGTGATTGCTTGCTAAAATTGAGGATTGCAGGAGGGGTTATGGGCTGTCCTAAACACTTTCTTTGCAAGTGTCCTCGCCTGGGGGTGGCAGCATATAACCATGGTTTAGAATTAAAGTGGTATTAAACCCAAAACCAAAAATGTAATATATTGCAACTGGTCAATCCTTTGATGTGGTGGCTACGTTAGTTTTAGTTTTTTTTTTCCTTTCTGTTTTCACCTGATGATCTGGCCAGTAGCACACCTCATGTTTTAGAGTGCCTCCAACCTGGATGCACAGGGGCACCTTTGGACAGCAGCATTGTCAATTTGGGGTGAGGGGCGTGTTAGATGGACTAGCAGATTTAGGTACACTAACAAATTTAAACCAAACTCCCGCTCGCACTGCAGTTACACAAACAGTTACAGCAACCTTTTTTTTTTGGGGGGGGGGGGTAAAGGCTTTACAAGAATGAAAAAAAAGCTGATCATTGTAAGCACCCCTGTCAGTGTCTTAACACTTGACTGACACATTTGTGGGAGAGTTTGTTCTGTTGAAAAAGTAAAGGCAAGAAAGCCTAAAAAAGAAAACTAATGCAACCATCACCATCTAAGAATCATCCAACCATCAACTGGTAAGCTGCAATATAATAAATGTTTTTGCTTTTGGGTTTAATACCACTTTAAAGGAGCCTGTGTCCTGTACTGTAATTCAAGAAAAGGATTTTACAGGTAAGACAAAAATTCTTAGATTTGTGATAGATGTAAGAAAAAACACAAAATCCATATTTACAAATTATATTTATATACTCTTATATATTTAGTACAGTTAATTCATCTTGGCCATTCAGAAATGCTATTTCACTGTATCAAAAGAACATTCAGGCTGATTTATTACATAATACTATATATTCATTCCCACTTGTAACCGGAGCTGGTTCATCCACAAGGCAACCTATTCAGGAGGCTATGACCAAGTCTATGTTCAGTTGGCCCAGCTACAACTTTAATGTTCCTGCAGTAAATCAGGGGGGAAAAGTTTTATTAGGTAAAATAAAACTAAATTTCCTTAAAAAAAATCACAGAAGTAGTTTTTTTTTTTTCGACAGAAAAGACATGCAATGTCTTTTGACCTAAAAAAGTCTCTTCTCTCGCCCCTGATGACTTTTTGCATAAAAGTTTTGCCCATACTGGATCTGTTGTCTGTCTGCATTGCCAGGTGCCAGGAAGTAACTCCTGCATATACTGTATAGCAGAAGAGGATTTGGCTTTGGGCCCAATTCAACCTTAAAATTTCTCAGTTTGTAATGATACATAAGACTTGTACATAGTACACAATTAAAGAACAGTTTTGCACAACATACATATACAGCGTAAGTGGGGACATAACTGTATACAGGTGTAAATATATATATATACTACAGTACCATTTTAGAGCAGCAAATACAATACAGCACTTAATAACAAACCACTGATTATGTATTCTTTTTTTTCAATAAATTGACAAATGCTTAACTCCGATTTGTTGCTATTTTTCTCTGAACACTATGGCTCTATTTACTGCCTTATTTAATGAGCCCCATTACACTGTCTTGTTAGCTTGACCCTGTTAGCATACACTGTAATTTTGACCTAAAAATTGTCCTTTAGGGTGAAGATATGGATGAGATAGACACTATGACACCATCGCAGGTGAGTGCTCCAGTCAATACCTTGTATTAACCTGGCAGGTGCAAGCAGTCACAAGAAAAAAAAACATGATTTAATTTACATTGTACATTTTTTTTTTTTTTTCATACAACAAAATGAATAAAGGAAATTGTATTCTAGAGTTAATTCTTGCACTAATTAGCCTAATAGATAAGTTTTGATGTCAGAAACTGATTATGCAGTGGTTTTACATTTTAAGCGCCTTTCTGCATAAATGCCATTTCCAATAACAGGCACACGTTGACAGTGTCATGTCACATAAATGTCAGTATTCTACAGTAATTTCTGGGGACACTTAGAGACAGTGTCGTTTATGTCAGACTCTGATGCAAAAAAACCACGGAGCAAAACATTCCACATGATTGGAAATTACATTTTTTTTTGCATTATATTACACCTCAATTCATCAGTGCTGAAGCAGAGACCCTTAAAAATTATGATTAATCTAATATAAGGACTAATAATGTAATAATGAATGGCAATGAATCTAAAAGTAGCAGTTTTTTATTATGTGGTGTCCAGTCAGGAAAAACAGGGACATTTCAAGGAACAATTATTACTGGAGATAACGTTTTCAAGGAAAATATAGGAATGGCCCTTGAAATAAAACTGAGGAAGTAGTGTAGAAAATTAAAGGGTCAGTCCATCCAAAACGAATGTTAAAATTTTCGGTAAATGTTGGAAATATGTGCTTGAGTTGGGTCTGCACAATTACTGTTCCTTTTAAAAAGGAGTATCCCACTCTTTTTTCTGGGTTTTATATTTATTTTATTTAAAGAAGAGTGAAAGGGGAGATGCTGGAACACCCACATCTCTCAAGTGGAAAGGCATTATAACTGTGATTTCTTCTGTTAAAATATTCAAAACCTATAAAAAGAACCTTAGGTTTGCTTGGCCTGTTAGGCTCCACCTGTAACTAAGATTTCTGTTAGGAGTCAGCACCAGTGATGACCAGATAAATGTAGCTACACACAGAAACTGGGACCAGACCATATGTATATTTACAGTGAACAATAAACACACCAACAGCAGCAAACGTGAAAACGCATGAAAATCAAACAACAACCAAAATTTAGAAACCTAAACTACTAACTATTCAAATATGTACAAGTGTGAAATATGCAAGGCAGGGGGAATACTGGGGAAGCAGATGGGATGGAGGAAACAAATCTGAGAAGGAGCAAGGCACCAGGGAACTGGATACAGGGCAGGAGCAAAAGCAGAATCCGGAATTAATGGCAACAGAGTCTGGCAGCACGGCAAATGGGATACAAGACAGGAATAACCAAAACACTGACACAAGGAGCCATAACCGAAGTGGAATTTTAACCACTTGCCTGACCAGGCCATTTTTTGCTGTTCCGCACTGCGCTGTTTCAACTGGTAATTGTGCAGTCATGCAATGCTGTACCCAAACGAAATTTGTCCTTTTTTAAACAAATAGATCTTTCTTTTGGTGGTATTTGATCGCCTGTGCGATTTTTTTTAATTTTTGCACTATAAACAAAAAAAAATGCAAATTTAAAAAAAAAAAAAACATTTTTCACTTTTGGTTATAAAAATATCCAATAGACTCAGTCATAAATTTAGGCTAAAATGTATTCTGCTACGTCTTTGGTAAAAAAAAAAATCTCAATACATGTATATTAATTGGTTTGTGTGAAAGTTTTAGCGTCTACATACTATGGTATTTATATTGGAATTTACGTAGCTTTTACTTTCTGACTGCCTATCACATTTATTAAGGTGCTAAAATGCCAGAGCAGTACCCCCCCCCCCCCCCCCCCCCCCCCCCCGACCCCTTTTTGGAAAATAATCTTTGAAGATGACAATTTTTTTTTTTTTTTTTTTACACAGTTGTCACTTAATGATATATTGCTCATGCATGCCATGGGTATATGTGAGGTATATGTGAAATAACACCCCCAAAAAACATTCTCTACTTCTTCTTCCGAGTATGGGGATTCCACATGTGAGAGACTTTTTGGCAGCCTAGCTACACACAAGCTCCCAAAATCCAAAGACCACCTCCAGGCTTTCAAAGGGCTTATTTCCTCATATCACTTCCCCACTACATATCAGTTTCAGAGGCTCTAAAATGCCAGGATAGTAAAAACACCCCCTCCAAATGACCCCTTTTTGGAAAGTAGACACCCTAAGGAATTTGAGAAGAGGCATGGTGAGTATTTTGCAGATATAATTTTTGTCACAGGGTTTTGAAAAAGAAAAGAGAAAATAAATTTTTTGTTTTCTTTCTTCGTTTTCCAAAAACGTGTCACCAAATGAGATCTGCAAAACTCACAATACCTCTTAGCAAATACCTTGGAGTGTATACTTTCCAAAAAGAGGTAATTTGGAGGGGTTGCTTCTACTATCCTGACATTTCAGGTCCACCATTAGAAGCTTATGCCACACATCACCCACTCTTGAAGTTCAAGCCTTTCTGACACTTTTTGTTCACCTGTAAAAACTGTTTTTTGCTAGAAAATTACTTTGAACCCCCATACATTATATATTTTTTTTAAAGCAGAGGACCCAGAGAATAAAACAGTGGGTGTTGAAATATTTTACGTCACACAGTATTTGCACAGCGATTTTTCAAAAGCAAATCTTTTGGGAAAAATACACTTTTTAGAATTTTTATGTGCAAGAACACAATATATTGCCCAATTGTTTGATAAAGTATAAAAGATGATGTTACGCTGAGTAAATAGACACCAAACATGACATGCTTTAAAATTCCGCATGCCCGTGCAATGGCCACAAAGTACATACATTTTTATTATTGATAGGCGACACTTTAAAAACCTTTACAGGTTAACAATTTATATTTACACAAGAGGTCTAGTGCTAGAATTACTGCCCTCAAGCTGATATATGCAGATACCTCACATGCATGATGCAACTGCTGTTTACATACCGACACAGGTCAACGCTCCTTTCAATTTTTTTGTCCCTTTCAATTTTTTTTGTTTTGGTCACAGGGAATGCAAATATCCCCTATAACGTCAATGGACATTGTCATATATTCTTTTTTGAGAAATCTAGGGTCTATCAGACGCTAGACATCTCTTCTGCCCTTACATTATCTAATCTCACCAAGATCGCTGTGATCAGATGCTTTTCCAATTTACAAATGGCGCTTTTTATATCCTGCGAAACTGAAGTGATGAAATACTCGTAACTTCCGGTCTCTTAAACTATAGAGATGATTGGAGTCATTCTGGTCTCTGATCAGCTCTATGGTCAGCCAGCGGAACTGCCAGCTGCATTCTCAGATTCCCCTGTGGGACAGGAGAGCCCAAGAAAACTGTGGAAGGCAACAGGAGGGGGTGGGCTGTCCCTTCCCACTGCTCGTAAAAACAATTCAGCAGCTGATTGGCCACTAGGATTGATTTTACATGAAAGCCAGCTGAAAAAAACGATACCAGGATGATGCCTATAGCTGCAGGCATCATCCCGGTATAACCGTTCAAAGTCCAGCGACGTACCAGTACATTGCCTGTCCATGTTGGGCATATATGTAACAGCAGAGAACACAGGCATACAATGAATCGGCTCTGTAGATCAACATGACCGCAATTCATTCTTTTCTGTAATGCCCATGTTGAGGGTTAGGCCCAAAAAAGTTTTAAATTCAGAAAACGTGATAGGTTTCCATGCGAAATTGTCTGGCAAAAGCTGAATTTGGGTGGGTGGCCATGTATTGTTGTGCGTATAAATTGCCTTGGGCCATAATCAATTGGTACAATCCTCCATGAAAAACAGCAGAGGGGCTAAACGCTAGTGCTGGCAGCAAATGGGGCCAATCCTGCTAACTTGTGGGTAAGCGGTTGGCAAGTAGTTAAAAAAAAAAAAAAAAAGTAAATTAATTTTTTTTTTTTTTTTACTTTTTTTTTTACTTTTTTTTTTTTTTTTTAAATACTTGTATTAGAATACTACACTGTTACCATAGTAACATTGTACTATTGTGGGTGATAGGGGTGGTCAGGGATTTTTTTTTTTTTACGCTTTGCAGAAGAAAGAAGGATCATTTCTCCTGCAATGCAAAGCTTGCTGTCAGAACCAAACTCATTCATGAACTGTCAGGGTGCTGTGATTGGCCCCATGTATCATGTGACAGCTGTGGGCCAATCACAGCTCACTAGTAAGAGAATCAGAGCTGTTATGAATGAGATTGATTCCTAACAGCTTTGCTTACATAGTGATCATGAGATTGCATAGCGGAATCTTCATTCTGCTGTGTCCACTGGACACAGCAGTCGTGAGGGGGGAGCGGTGCACGGCTGCTCAGGCGCACAGCATCCCCCTGTGTTAGTACAGCCAGAGCGATGTACAGGTATGTCACTTTGCCTGTAGCTGCTGATCTGCGCAGTACATTGCGGGCGGGAAGCGGTTAAGTACTCTCCCAGAAGGTGAAGCCAGGTGGAGCTGACTGCTGGAAGACACCTGCTGGTGGACACTAAAACTGTAGCTTTTCACCTAGGGAAGCACAGTGCCACCAGCAGGAGAAACAGGTTGTGACAATTTCACTTTTGGGTTTACTGTCCATTTTAGTATAAAGGCTACATATTAATACTTTATCCTCTAAACTTGAATAGATCTCTTTGAACCTATTCTAGTATATCAATGCAATTCTCAGGCAAAGATCAAGACCTTGGAAGTTCTTGTTATTTCTCATTTAGACTTCCATGACATATACAGTATATGTTCAGTTTTTATATTTAGAAGGTGCAGAAAATATTTAAATTTTTTGGCATGACAAGTTTTTATTATTTTTGAATTTCCAGTAATTGCCGAAACTCCATACAAACATAGATAACATTGTGCAGCTAGAATAAAGTTCAGCTATTTGTTATGCATTTTAACTGTATTTACTTTAATGGGAGTGTTATTGTGGCTCATAATTAATTTAACATACATTCATTTTAGAACTCAAATATATTTTACATTTGTACATGAGAGATGTAGCTAGATTGTTTGATATGGCCAACAGTTTTTATTAGCAATGTACAGTTCAAAAGCAATTAAGACTAACTAGCAGTGTTACTTCAGACTATTGAGGCAACTGTTTTGTGCAAGTATAAATCTGCAGTGAGCTATTGGAATCACTGAGACAATTGAGCTTAGATTGTATGGCACTGCAAAGAGCAAAGCTGTAGTGCCAAGTTTCACAAATAAGATCAGTAAACAATGATTACTGATAGCTGTAAGTTAATGCACTTTGCAATATTGAATAATTCTGAGCATGCCTCACATCACTGACCATGTCGAGGGACCCCTTATGTACAGTCGTGGCCAAAAAATATTGGCACCCCTGCATTTCTGTCAGATAATGTGCCACTTCGCCGAGAAAATTGTTGCAATTACAAATGTTTAGGCATTCTCATGTTTATTTCTTTTGTTTGTATTGGTATGACAAAAAAAAAAAGTGGAGAGACAAAAAGTCAAATCTGACACATTCTACGCAAACATCAAAAATGAACTGGACAAAATTATTGGCAGCTTCCCAAAATTTTAAGAAATAATTGCATTCCAAGTTTTTGTAGTAATAAAACTCACCTGTAATTTGTAATAAAATTCACCTGTATCAATTAACAGGTGCTGACAATATAGAAATCACACCGGCAACCAGTTCAAAATGGTGAAAAATTTACTCAACCTTTCTGTTGTGTATCTCTGTGTGCCACATGGAGAAGAGAAAGAGCAGCAAAGAATTGTCTGAGGATTTGAGAACAAAAATTGTGGAAAAGCATGGACAGTTTCAAGGTTACAAGTTCATCTCCAGAGATCTTAATGTTCCTGTGTCCACTGTGTACACCATTGTCAAGATGTTTGTAGGCCAGGGCACTGTTAATCTCCTTGGGCATGGACCAAAGAGAAAAGTTTATCAAAGATTGCAACGAAGCATTGTTCGAATGGTGACTAAAGAACCTCGATCAACTTCCAGACAAATTCAAGCTGACCTTCAGGCACAGGGTACATCTGTGTCAGCTCGCGCTATACATCGCCATTTAAATGAAAAGGAACGCTATGGAAGGAGACACGGGAATCCCACTGCTGACACAAACATAAAAAAGGCAGATTGGCGTTTGCCAAAACCTACCTGAGGAAGCCAAAATCCTTTTGGAAGAATGTGCTGTGGACAGATGAAACAAAATTACAGCTTTTTGGTAAAGCCCATCATTCTACAGTTTTTTCAAAAAAAGCAATGAGGCCTTTAAAGAAAAGAATGCAGTCTCTCTCTACAGTCAAACATTGTGGAGGTTCACTGATGTTTTGGGGTTGCTTTGCTGCTTCAGGCACTGGATGTCTTGACCGTGTGCATGGCATTATGAAATCAAAGACTGCCAAGGGATTCTGGGGTGCAATGTAGGGCCCAGTGTCAGAAAGTTAGGTCTCTGTTAGAGGTCATGGGTCTTACAGCAGGACAATGACCCAAAGCACACATTAAAAAAAAGTACCCAGAAATGGTTTAAGGCAAAGCGCTGGAGAGTACTGAACTGGCCAGCAATGAGTCCAGATCTCAATCCCATAGAGCACCCATGGAGAGATCTCAAAACAGCAGTTGGGAAAAGGAACCCTTCCAGTCTGAGAGACCTGGAGCAGTTGGCAAAAGAAGAGTGGTCCAGAATTCCAGTAGAGGTGTGTGCTACCAAATATTAAATTGAGAGTGTCAATAATTTTGTCTAGTCCATTTTTTTGGAGTTTTGCATGGAATGTGTCAGATATGGCTTTTTGTTTCTCCAGTTTTTTGTGCCATACTAATACAAACAAAAGAAATAAACATGAGAATGCCTAAATATTTGTAATTGCAACAATTTTCTGGGCGAAGTGGTGCATTATCTGACAGAAATGCAGGGGTACCAACAGGGTGGACTGACAACTCATGGGGCCCCCGGGTAATAGGGGATCATGGGGCCCCTGTGTCTTTGCCCAAACTCAAAAAAGCCTATGAAAAAGGTACCAGGGGCATCTCATGGCTCCCCCTACTGACCCCGGGCCCTCGGGCAGTGCCCGAGTTTCCAAATGGTCAGTCCGCCTCTGGGTGCCAATATTTTTGGCCATGACATACTCCACTTTTGTATTGGTGAATGGTACACCACCTAAGTGTAGATAACTGTATCTGCACAAAATTAACTGACCCTCTAGTCTTTGTACTTCTAGCTTCATAGTGTCTGTTGACTATATCAAACAGTCTGCCTATCCCATTTCAAGTGCAGATGAATAAATGAGAGGAAGTATCTGGTTGCTAGAAGCAATGCTGTTCACTTTTAACTTCAGCCAGTTTTAGTAAACTAGGCTCAATTACCCTAAAAAAAAATTGAAAAGATATATGAGTGTTAATGTCCTGTGTTTTGCATTGTAAATGACAAATCAATGCCCTAAAGTCGGACTCTTGGTAAAAACAAGAAACAATAGGTGATTGCATGTGCAGTACAGGGTGTCAGAAGACTATTTAAAACCTTCTGTTGTCTTTCAGATTTTACAGTGGGAAGAACAACAGCTTGATGAAACTATCAATTTCAACAACTGCAAGATTGACCCAGCACCTTTCCAGTTGGTGGAAAGGACATCTCTTCATAAAGTAAAATACATCAGACATTCCCTATTCATGCACTTTATTGTTCCATTATTTCTTAAAGTGGTTGTAAACATGAAAGACATGAAATCTGAACAAAGCATATCGCTCTATATTGTGTACTTGTCTCAATTAAGAGCACTAAGTGTCATTTATGTCTGCTGCTCCATTTCTCTGCTATCAGCATGAATCACTGCTGACAAGCTTTTCTGACACCAACAGAAAAATGGTGACGGGGAGAGATCTCCAGCAGATTGACAGCTCCAGCTCTGTTCCTGTGAGCTGTGTGGAGGGGGTGTGTCTCTTCCATCCAATTAGCTCTCAGAGCTCTCTTCACTGAGCTCTGCAGAGTATAATTTCAGCTCTCTGCCCCCCCTTTTTTCCTAAACTCGCAGACAAGCTTTATAAATTCAGAACTTTGAACGGCTGACGAGAAGACTGCAGATATACAGGTACAACTTATGTAGGAAGATTTTATGGTACAAAAGTGGTGCAGCACAAACAACAAACTGAAAAACTTCTACTAAATTGTGACCATAAGCACAGTGCTAAATATGTGAAAATATCAAAAGTATAATTCTCCAAATAAAGTAACTTGCGAAGTGCACATAACGTGACAAGAATCTAAACAACACAACATAAATAATAAAGTCCTAATAAGTATCCTCTCTTGGGTAAACAACAGTCCCGTGTATTCAGATAAAGACACGTGTAGTGAATCACAAACTTCACTTGTGTACCAACACTCTTAAGAAGTGACTGTTCACCTTCCAATCAGACCCATAGTCTCATATAGGTCAAACTCGTGCTTAGTGGAAAAATTTCCTCACACTGGCTCCTGTTCTTCCTCCTCTCCCACCAATGGACGCTGTAGAGGTTCTCCTCATCCGCCACAAAAACTCAAAAGTAGATGATAGACAAAAGGTGCCGCCAATAGTGTAGTAAAGACGTTTTTTAAAAGAATTGTTGTTTGTGCTGCACCACTTTTGTACCATATGATTATACACTGTGTAGTATCACACAGATAAGGCGCAGCAGCAAGTTCACATACTGTGTTACATATATTCTTTGGTTATTTTTTTATACAGTCCATGTAATTTTTTCTATTGTAGCAGCGCATGAGTATCTGTTTTATTTTATGTAGGAGGATTTGTTTCATCACCTGAGGCTAGGAACTTCACTGGGCATATGTAAGGGTTTACAACCACTTTAAAGTAGAATTCCAGTTAGATACTAATTATACGTAAACCTGCCCCAACCCCCATTATAAGCCTATTGTAACTACCTCATAAAGGAAAAATGTCTATACTTACCTATTCTGAGGGCGCTCCAATCCGTTCACATAACCTCCCCAGTGGCCGGCTTTAGAGAAAAGGCAAAATCACCAACAGGGGCAGCAGAGCCTGGGTGATAATATCGCCTATAGGCTTACTATGGGGCATCCATTGTCGGATGTCCCTCCTCTACACCGAAGCCGGTGCTGGATCATGTGACTAGACCAGAACGCCCTCAAAATAGGCAAGTATAGACATATTTCCTTTACAGTGTAGTTAGAATAGGCTTAGAATGGGGGTGGGAGCAGGTATAGGTAGTGTTTAGACTGGAATGCTAGTTTAATATCATATCCAATGTTTGTTACTACCTGGAAGATCTGCCAGTTTTTCACTCCAGTATTTTCTCACAAATAGAAATATTTCTGTTAGTTCTCTACATTTTCCCTAAAGTGTTACTAAACCCATGACCCTGCATTCACTATATCTGGTCTTCCACAGTACACAAAATATGGAATTGCAATTATTTTAGTTAATATAAATTGCTAAATACCTTTTCTCTTCAGCAGTATATAGCAGTCTTGTGACTTCTATCAGTGTCTGGCTCAGCACTGGTTAATCTTGTAGGAGGAGTTTTCATTCTCCTCTGACTGTCCTATGAGGTTGCATGACCCTTGACCCTCTGTCCAGACAGCGCTATTTGGCCCTGTGCCAATTACATTCAACCTCCCTGAAAAAAATATCTCTAGCAATACACACCAAACAGAGCATGTGCAGACTTGCCACTGCTGCTCTGTGCTATGGCAGATGGATTGGGAGCAATACAAGAGACTGCATGGGAATTCACCTCAGCATTTTGTGCAGCCCATGTAGTTAGATGCAGGATGATATAAAGGTTCAGGGATGTTGTCCATCCCTAAACAACCTTGACCCTGAAGTCCTTTTTTGGGGGTATGCCTACCATGTTGGGTGAAGCCTGTATAGGCATCAGACAGGCGTTAATGAGCTTTGGTTTGGGCATTAGACTGGCTTTTTGCAAGTGTTAAAACTGCTCCCCAAACGCCCTATGTGTAGTTTTGAAGCATTTTAAAAGTATTTAAAACCACACCACAAGCTAAATAAACTGTAGTGTTATTAATGTGCCGCAACCGCATCACGAATACCCCGCAAACACCTGCCAGCATGTTTGAGGAGCGTCACTATAGACTTGACTAGGCTGCGTTGACAGGCTTCAAACTCCTCCTGACTCGACATAAGGCTTCAATTTTGAAGCAAAGTGACGTTAACACTTCATGTTTTGATAATGTGAACAGCACTGTGTGCTACCATAGTATAATTTGCATAGGCATTTGAGGAGTGTTAAAATTGTCCCTCAAATGCCTTCCTTCAATGCCAGTGTGAACTAGGCCTTATTGTAAAAAAAAAAAAAAAAAAAAAAAAAAAAAAAAGCAGGGCTATGTTTGGATGTTTTCACATTAGAATGTAAACCTTTCAAAGTTGGCGCTAAATTCAACCACTCAGAGCTTCAGCTCAGGCTGACCATCGTACCACTGGTTGCACACTTTACCACCTGAAGCCTTACAAGATACTCAGATGCTTCCTCCTATCCTTTCACCAAAAGGACTTTATTACAGAATAGTCTATATCTGGGTTGCTGTGTACTCTGTCTGGACACACCCTATGTTCTGCACCCTACTTTAAGCCACGGCAAAACCTCAGGTGAACATTCTTTCTGCTGAAGGCCTACATAACACTCCAGCTCAGAGTGAGGGTGCTTCCCTTGCAAAGCCTGATATTAAAGTGTTACTACAGTTCCTTGAAAAAGTATTCATACCCCTTGAAATGTTCCACATTTTGTCCTGTTACAACAAAAAATTTAAATATATTTTCTTGGATTTTATGTGATAGACTAACACAAAGTGGCACATAATTGTGAAGTGAAAGGAAAAAGATAAATGGTTTTAAATTTTTTTTACAAATATCTGAAAAGTGTGGCATGCATTTGTATTCAGCACACCCTAAGTCAATACTTTGTAAAACCACCTTTTTGCTGTAATTACAGCTGCAAGTCTTTTTGGGGATCTCTACCAGCTTTGCACATCTAGAGAGGGACATTTTTGCCCATTCTTCTTTGCAAACTAGCTCAAGCTCTGTCAGATTGGATGGAGAGCGTCTGTGAACAGCAATTTTCAGGTCTTGCCACTGATTCTCAATTGGATTTAGGTCTGGATGTTGACTAGGACATTCTAACACATGACTATGCTTTGAGCTAAACCATTCCTTTGTAGCTCTGGCTGTTTGTTTAGGGTCGTTGTCCTGCTGGAAGGTGAGCCTCTGCCCCAGTCTCAAGTCTTCTGCAGACTCTAACAGGTTTTCTTCTAAGATTGCCCTATATTTGGCTCCATCCTTCTTCTCATCAACTCTGACCAGCTTCCCTGTGCCTGCTGAAGAAAAGCATCCCAACAACATGATGCTGACACCATCATGTTTCATGGTGGAGATGGTGTATTCAGGGTGATGTGCAGTGTTCGTTTTCTGCCACACATAGCATTTTGCTTTTAGGCCAAAAAGTTCAAATTTGGTCTCATCTGACCAGAGCACCTTCTTTCACATGTTTGCTGTGTCCCCCACATGGTTTCTCGCAAACTGCAAATGGGACTTCATATGGCTTTCTGTTTTCCCTTCTTCCATAATGGCCAGATTTGTGGAGTGCATGACCAACAGTTGTACTGTGGACAGATTCTCCCAGCTGAGCTGTGGATATCTGCAGTTACCAAGGGCCTCTTGGCTGCTTCTCTGATTAATGCTCTCCTTGCCCGGCCTGTCAATTAGGTGGACTGCCATGTCTTGGTAGATTTGCAGGTGTGCCTCTTTCCATTCGGATGATGGATTGAACAGTTTTCCGTGAGATGTTCAAAGCTTGGGATATTTTTTTATACCTTAACCCTGTTTTAAACATCTCTACAACTTTTATCCCTGACTTCTTTGGTGTGTTTCTTTGCCTCCATGATGCTGTTTGTTCACTAATGTTCTCTAACAAACCTCTCAGTGCTTCACAGAACAGCTGTATTTATACTGAGAATAAATTACACACAGGTGGAAACAAAATCCCTGACCTCAAAAGCTAATGGGGCTTTAAAGGTACCATACCGTACTAATACAAATGAAGTGAAAACAATAGATAAAAATTAAACCCTTTTATTAGGTTAAAAAAACCACCCATCGGTGGAAAAAGCTTAGTCAGACATAGACACAAAAGGCATATAGTCAGACATAGACACAAAAAGGCATTTGATTAAAATCAACAAGGGGTGGCTATAGTAGGCGATGGCCACTGCCCAAGATGTAAGGAACGTCACAGGCATCGTCAATGGCGAACCACAGCCACTAACTTGAAGCAAGGTAGACTCAACTGTACAGATAGTATATGAAATGGTAAATGATTGTCAGTGGAAATGTATAAGTATATAGACAGAAAACACCCAACCAAAGGACATAATAGGTGTTGATGAAACTGGTATGACAGTATCCACTTGAAACCATGATAAATGCTTTGTGTTATAGATTCCAATGCGTTTCGTGGGATGAAACAAGAGTATCTACAAAAAATAAAAAACAAAAACATGTAATCAATAAATGGTATAGTGCAAATATATACAGTACAACAAAACAAAATATGAACAAACAAAACAACAGCAATTACCAGTCGATGATATCAGCACACTCTGAGATAGC